CACATCACATCATCATCGTCATCCTCATCAGCTCATCAGCTCATCAGCTCATCAGCTCATCATCATCATCATCATCATCAGCCATCCCATCATCATCATCATCAGCATCATCATCATCATCATCATCATCATCATCATCATCATCATCATCATCATCATCATCATCATCATCATCATCATCATCATCATCATCATTATAGTCAGCATCATCGTCATCATCATCAGCATCATCATCATCAGCATCAGATTCTTCATCATCATCAGCATCATCATCATCGTCATCATCATCATGATCATCATCATCATCAGCAGCAGCATCGTCATCAGCAGCAGCATCATCATCGTCATAATCATCGTCATCAGCATCACCATGCGCATCATCATCATCATCATCATCACCGCCACCATCATCATCAGCAGCATCATCATCATCATCACCACCACCACCACCAGTATCATCATCATCAGCATCATCAGCATCATCATCATCACCATGATCGGCAGCATCACCATCAGCATCATCATCATCACCATCATCAGTAGCATCATCCTGATCATCCTCACCAGTATCATCAGCATCGTCCGCATCATCATCATCCTCATCCTCATCATCAACATCATCATCATTATCAACAGCAGCATTATCATCATCATCATTAGCATCAGCATCAGAAGCATCATCATCACAGCATCATCATCATCATCATCAATATCAGCATCATCATCATCATCATCATCATCATCATCATAGTAATGATCATCAGCATCATCAGCATCGGCATCAACATCAGCATCATCACTATCATCATCAGCAGCAGCATCATCATTATCGTCATCTTCAGCATCATCATCTTAATCATCACCATCCGCATCATCAGCATCATCATCGTAATCATCATCATCAGCATCATCATCAGCATGGTCATCATCATCACCATCATCATCATCAGCATGATCATCATCATCATCATCATCATCCTCATCATCATCATCATCATCATCATCATCATCATCATCATCATCATCTTCATCTTGATCATCATCACCACCACCATCATCATCATCATCATCATCATCATCATCATCATCATCATCAGTATCATCATCTTCATCAGCATCATACTCCTCCTCCTCCTCCTCCTCCTCATCCTCCTCCTCCTCATCATCATCATCATCATTATCCCCGTCTTCCCCCCCCCCCTCCTCCTCCTTTTCCTTCTCCTCCTCCTCCTCCTCCTCCTTCCTCTCTCTCCTCCTCCTCCTCCTCCTCCTCCTCCTCCTCTCCACTCCCCCTCCCACCCCTCCTCGTCCCCCTCCTCCTCCTCCTTCTCCTCCTCCTCCTCCTGCTCCTCCTCCTTTTCCTCCCCGCCGCCTCCCACTCATAATCATCATCATCATCATCATCATCATCATCATCATCATCATCATCATCATCATCATCATCATCATCATCATCATCATCATCATC